CCTATATTAAATGGTGCTTTTCTATCTTTTATATGGTACATTACGTGTTACATGGTTACAGTTTTTCCCCAATGCCTATTACCTATATTAAATGGTGCTTTTCCACTCTAAACCAATCTGTGAGTGCCAACATCACCAAGAACATGGAGGTGAGGAAGGAGAAAGAGGAGGAACAGGACTGGCCTACATTCCTCCATCTTAAAATCTCTGTCCCCCATGTACAAAGTAAAAACCTCCCTGTACAGGTGTTAAAACCCCCTTGTACAATACTAAAAAATTCTCCCCTTTACTTTGTGACTACTCCTACTCTAATATCTAAAATTTTGTGGCTCCTTGTTCTTCCTGCAAGGTTGGTAGCTCATTCCATGGTTCAAACCCAAAATCACAGCTGTTTGCAGCTGCCTGCCAGGGTCTAAAATGCTTCTGACCTGGGCCTGGAACCTCCAAAAATGTCTGAGGGACGTTTTGAGTTCCAGCAGCTCCCCACTGCTAGAGGCAGGGAGGGATGGGATATTGGGGGAAATCCTTCCCTGTGAGCAGGGGATGCCCTGGGATGGGATTCCCAGAGCAGCTGTGGCTGCTCCATCCCTGGCAGTGCCCCAGGCTGGGCTGGATGGGGTTTGGAGCACCCTGGGACAGTGGAAGGTGTCCCTGCCATGGCAGGGGTGGAATGGGATGGGCTTTAAGGTCCTTCCCAAGCCAAACCATTCCAGGATTTTGGGACAGGATTCCATGACTCCCTCACCCTGCAGCAGGAGGGGCCCCTGAGCTCCCATCCCCAGTCCCCTCATTCCTTATCCAAGGAAAGCTCCCCTCTCCCTTTGCTGGCTCTCAGCACCCGGTTTTTCTGGAGAACTCCTCCTTCCCTCCTGCCCTGCTGCTGCAGGAGCTGTGCTGGCAGGGGAGGCTCTCCCACCTCCTGAGGGATTTCATCCCCAGCTCCTCCGGCTGGGTCAGTGGAGGTGAGAGCTCCGGGCTGAACTGCAGATATGTCATTAGTATTAATAGCCCTGCTCAGACTCGTTATGCAAATGAGGGGAGAGGAGCCAGTTGAGTTATTCATCTTTAACCTTTATTTTGGGTTCGTGTGACCCCCCCGGTGAGGCTCCTGTTGCTGCTCTGGCTCAGGGTGCTGGGTTATCTGCTGCCCTCATCCCCACAGCTACAGCCCTGCTCCCGGGGTGACTCCAGGTGATGCCAGCTGCACGTCCCTCCCTGGGGATGCTCCTGGGGCTGATCCCAGCTGCACATCCCTCTCGGGATGCTCCTGGGGCTCATGCCCAGCCCTGCAGCAGGAGGGGACTCAGGGTGACACCCTGTCACAAATCACTGCCAGGGACATGTGCTGTGCTCCCGTGCCTCTAATCCCGAGGTTCCTCCTGCTGTGGTAGCTCCAGGTGGCTTTGAGGAACCTGAGCACATCCAGAAACACCGACCTGGATTCCTTTTATCAGTGACAGGAGATTGGGAAGGGCTTACCCCTGCCAGAGGGCAGGGCTGGATGGGATACGGGGAAGGAATTCTTCCCTGTGGTGGTGGAGGGGCTGGGGTGGAATTCCTGGGAAGCTGTGGCTGCCCCATCCCTGGGAGTGTCCCAGGCCGGGCTGGACAGGGCTCTGAGCACTCTGGGCTGCTGAAAGGTGTCCCTGCCCGTGGCAGGGGGTGGCACTGGATGGACTTTAAGGTCCTTTTCTGTAGCAACAATGCAGCGACCCCCGGCTCAGGGAAGAAATGATGATTTCTGTCTGGCTCCAGAAGGCTGCAGGATTGCTTTATTAAAACTATGCTATATGACATTAATATGCTATTTAAAGAGATACTATCCTATTCTACATACTCACTTACTTACCTAACTCAAAGTCATAACTCTGCTGAGAGCCCGAGCCACAGCTGGATCTGATTGATCATTGAACTTCAACAACTTTCACTAAAATCTCATCAAGCAATCACTGCAGGTAAACAGCCACATTCCACATGGGCAAAACAAAGCAGCAGAGATAAGGCTTTCTCTTCTCTCTGTGCTTCTCCAAGGAATCCTGAGAGACAGAATGGAGTCTCTCCGTGCAGAGACTGTGAGTGGCACATTTTCCAGCCTGGGTGACACAGCGGTGAGGAGCTGCTGTGACACATCCCCATCCATCCTGCTCCATCCCCATCCACCCTGCTCCCCAGGGCCGGGCTCTGGGATGTGCTGACGTGTCTGTGTTGCCTTGCAGGGGTTCCCTGGCCCTTCCCACGCCGCCGTGGCCCTGAGCTGGGAGCAGCGAGCCGTCAAGGAGAAGCAGGAGCAGGAGCCCGGCCGGGACCTGGGGAACGAGCTGGCCATCAGGATAGGTAGAGCTGGGCTCCAGCCAGGCAAGCATCCTGCCATATCCCACCCCCAGAGGGCACAGAGCTGCCCTGGCACCGGGGCTGCCATCCCCATCCCCATCCCCATCCCCGGGGTTCCTCCCCTCTCCCACCCTCCCTCTGCTGCCTTCTAGTTCTTGGCTTTCTCCTGCAGCTCTCCAAGCCACTTGTGCTGTCTGGGCCATGAATTATTGACCAGGAGCTCTCTGCTGTGCTGGAGGAGTGAAACCCTCGGGGTATTTCCAGCTCTGCCCCTGTGGCCTCCCCAGTGCCAGCTGGGGACTTGCTGTCCCCCCTCATTCTGGGGGTGAATCCAATCGCAGCTGCCAGAGGGTGGAACACACTCTTTCCTACTTAAACACCTTTCAAAGAAGGAATTTTGGGTGCCTCTTTGGGCTTCCCCAGCCCCCGGGGTGTGTGTGGGGTGGGTGGTGGGGACATGTCCACTGAGACAGCACAAGTGGCTCTTCCTCCACTCAACAGCTTTCCAGGAGACAAAGCAAATGCAATTCATTAAATTAATTTTATTTCTCCTCCGCTTATTTGCTTGGAATTGTGGTTTAAAACATGACGAGTGCAACTGGGAGCAGATTGATTTCCTTCCTTTTGCCACGAGCAGCACTGCTCCCCTCTTAAATCTGCCTCTTTTATTTAACCACATTGCTTAATTGCACGTTTCCCAAAACGCTGCAAATCCTCAGGATTGGAAGCAGCAGCCTGGCTTTTTCCAGAGGGATGGGAGGATTTTTTCTGCTCCATGCAGTGAGCTTTGCATCCTGTGAGTCTTTAGGAGGCAGCTGCAGGGGGGTTGATGTTTTTGTCAGGTGCAAACTTCCCATCTCAGGCACAGTTTAATTTTATTCTTGAAGGGAAAGCAGAAGTGCTCAGCCCTGCAGTTCTCAGCAGCTCGAGCTGCTGTGGTTTTTATGTTTCCATCTCTTTTTTGGTTGCAGACAATAACAGTGCAAATGGTTTTGGGAATAGAAAATTTCCATTAGGCTTTGTTGTTTTTTTTTTCCTCTCTCTGGGGAAATGGTATTAAGACCCTACAATACATTAATTCTTTTTATTGTCTTTTCCTTTTTTTCCCCCTTTCTTTCTAGTGAAATAAACTCGGTATTTTCACAAGATGCCCCCAGCCTTCCAAGAAAGCTGCTTTCCCTAGGGCTGGGTAGTGCCTGCCGGGCTCTGGGGAAGCTCTGGGAACATAATGGGTGTTTTCAAAGTCTAATGGGTACTAAGTGGAATATTTCAGGCTTAATCACTGTTGAATCATTGACCCTTCCTTCATATTTACATCTTTTTAAATCGCTAAAGCTGTGAAAACAAAGGAAAATCCCAAAGCAGCAGCTGCCTTGTTCTGCCAGGGTGCCTGGGGAGGGATGGGGGTGAGGAGCTGGGATGGGGAGGGCTGGAAATGTGGGAATTGTGCCTCTCTCCAGGGCCTGCCTGTGGGGCTGGGGTCTCTCTGGGGCTGGGGATGCATTTGGAGCCTGCCTGGGGAGGCTTTGGGCTGTGCTCGCCAAGCCAGGAGGTTTCCTTCACACCTAGGAGAGGGAGGTGGGGGAAAGGTGGGAGTTAAACCTGTCCCTCATCTGCTCTGGGGAGACAAAAAAGCCTAATTTGGGTTTTTTCCCTCAGCCAGCAGCGCTGTGGAGCAGCCCAGGCTGTAGCAGGGATGGAATGGGATGAGATTTAAGCTCCCTCCCATCCCAAACCATTCCATGGCTGCTCTTCCCCCTCATCCCAAATCCTTTGGCTTTCCATCACTTGGTTTTACTCTGCTCCAGCCCCTCTCTAGCCTGTCCTGAGTAGAATTGAAACTTTCTGGGAGCTGCTAAAAGCTGCCTGTGCCTCGTGGCTGCCTGGAGTAAGGTGTGTGTATCCCTGGGAAATGCAGGATGGTGGATTCGCCCTGAATTGCACTGCGAAGTCTGTCTAGACCGTTTGATGAGTGGGATAATCACCAGGCTTTAATTACTGCAAGGGAGAGAGAATCCAGCCTTGTCTCTCAGAGCTCTGGGTAGGCAAGGGCTGTGGTTGTGGTTCAGTTCTTGGGAGCAGCTGGGATGGAGCTGGGGGGGTTTGTTCCCAGTTCTGGAGCCCTCTGGGGTGCCAGGAGTGCCCTGGCTGGGCTGTGCCCACCCTGCCCTGCTCCCTGTGGGCAGCCAGGGCTGGGGCCAGCCCGTCCTGCTGCTTTTCCAGGTGCCCAATCCAGAGGAAATGGCCAGGGCAGGGTCAGCCGGGGCTGGAGGCCAGGCCTGACCCTGCTGTGTCCCAGAAAGGATTTCCAGGCAGCAGAGCAGCTGGAAAGCTGAGCTGGGGCTCAGGACAGCTGGGTATGGAACAGCTGATGCCTCCTGCTGCTGATTCAGATCCCCAGCCCGGTCTGGAGTGGGAGATGCTGCTCCAGCAGCCTCCTCATCCCCCTGCAGCTGGGAGAGCTCTGGGGAGCTGCTGGGGCAGAGCAGGGCACAGCAAGGTGGCTGCAAAGCTGGAGAAAACCCCAAATATCCCTTTGGTGCCCAAATATCCCTTTGGTGCCCAAATATCCCTTTGGTGCCTGGGCAGGAGCGGCCTCCAGGGAGGGAAGGGCAGTGGGAATTGAATTTCTGTGCTGGGAATTCCTGTGCTGGCTGCTGAGCTCAACTCCAGAGAAATGTCTGAGGAAGCAGCAGCATCTCTGCTGCTCATCCTCCACCCCAGAGCCAGGGATGTGTGGCTGGCTCCTGGAGAGAGATTTTACAGGAGCGTGGAGTGACAGGACAAGGAGGAACAGCTTCAAGCTGACAGGGAGTGGGCTGGGATTGATGTTCGGGAGAAATCTGTCCCTGGGAGGGTGAAATCCATCCCTGGGAGGGCAGAATCTGTCCCTGTAAGGTTGAAATCCATCCCTGTAAGTTGAAATCTGTCCCTGGGAGAGCAGAATTTGTCCCTGGGAGGGTGAAATCCATCCCTGTAAGGGTGAAATCCTTCCTTGGGAAGGCAGAATCCATCCCTGGGAGGGTGAAATCCATCCCTGGGAGAGCAGAATCTCTCCCTGTGAGGATGAGGAGGGGCTGGGATGGAATTCCCAGAGAAGCTGTGCCTGCCCCATTCCCAGAAGTGTCCAAGGGCAGGTTGGAGCCACCTGGGCTGGTGGAAGGTGTTGATGCCATGGCTCAAGTGGATCATCTTTAATTCCCCTGACGCCGTGGTGCCTGTTGTGCCTCTGGCTGCAGCAGTGTGGAGTCACTGCTGTTACTGGAGGAATGACTCAGTTGGCTTTTCTGGGCTGTGATTTAGGAGCTGCTGCCCTGGCATCCCTGCCTGGCTGCTCAGGGAGCAGATCCAGATGGATTTCGTGGCTGCAAAAACCACCCCGTGTTTGCAGCAGTGTCTGTTAGAAATGAAATTTTGTTAAGCTCGTTACTTAGATCAGCTGGGAGCTCTGGGGGACCTGCATGGTAGGTAGAAATTGTGGGTTTTTTTCCCCTTAAATTGGAGCTGCTGCATCACATCTGAAGGCCCAGGTGGGGATTTGGGTGGGCTGGGGACACCCCAGCCCTGCCAGGACCTGCTGGGCCCCTTGCAGCAGCATCACCCCCTCCCTAAGCTCATTCTTGCCATTTTTGGCCCTAGTTTTCCCCTCCAAAGGAAGTTTCCATGCACCAGGGCTGCCTGAGGGGGCTGCACAGGAGAGGAAGCAGAAGCTGCATCTCTTTCTCTCAGTGCACTGAAGTGTGCTGGGAGGAGCTGGGGAGAGGAGACCAAAAACCCCTGGGAACCAACACAGAGAGAAAACGAGCTGAATTTTGGGCTTGGCACTGATGCTTGAGGCAGCACATCAGTGGGGCTTGTCCTTAGAGCCAAAAAATGCCCGTTTTTCCCTGGTTCTTCTGAGAAAGAAGGAAAACCCTGAGGGAAAACCTGCCCAGCCGTGCCCAGCTCCCCTGCCGGGAGCAGGGGCAGCTTGCTGCTGCTCAGCCTGTGGATCCTCTCCCTGTTCCCTCCCTCCCTGAGCAGAAGCAGTGGCTGTGAGGGAGAAATGATGGATCCAAACCCTGGGGATTGATCGGGGCCATTCAGCCAGAGCCTCCTGTGTGCATCCAAGAGGTTCATTAGGCCCTTGTGGCTTATATGATGTGAGAGTCCTGCTTTAAAAGGAGTGAAAAGGGGGAGTTAAAAGGAGTTAAAAGCCCTTGTGACTTATATAAAGTGAAAGTCCTGCTTTAAAAGGAGTTAAAAGGGGGCTGTTGCCCAGTTTTGCGTGCTCCCAGCTCTGTCTGGGATAACTTGGACACGTTCACACCGTGCTCCTTGAGCTTTCAGAAGCCATCAATCCCTCCGGAGGGCTCAGAGCCAGCCTGGGTGATAAATGCCTCTGGCAGTGTCTGTATTGATTAAAAAACATCCCGATGCCCCTTTCTGAAGCGTTTCAAATGGTTATTGACCGTCCCTGGCAGCCCGGTGCCGTGCTCGGCGTTTATGGGCCGGGCTAAATGTGGATTTATGGAGCCAGAGCTGCACAGGAATAAATCAGAGGGGTTGTTGCTGTTGAGGCAGGACGGGAATGAAGAGACTCTGACCAGAAGTCTGCTGAGAGTAAAAAATCTGGTTTATTTAAAATATACTGCTCTTTTATACGGAGCTTTGTGGGGACCAACTCCATTGGTCCTGAAGTGAAAATAACTCAAACCATTGGTGTGCAGTGCTTGATGCACAGTGCTAGAACTTTAAACAATGTTAATAATAAGAGAGAAATCATTATTTACATTATTTTTTAGCTTTTCCCCAGGCTTGTGCCTGGCTAGAAACTCTTGTTTCTGTCTCTGACTGAATCTGAGACCCACGGGGGCACATCATTCCTGCTGCTTCACTCGGGGTCTGTGCCCCCACCGTCCACGCCCTGCCCTGCTCCTGCCACCAGGAATTTTCACTTAATTTTGAAAAGCCACCTGGTGGCTGCTGCTTCTTGGATTTACTTGTAGAGGACCCAGCTCTGCCGTCAGTGAAGCACCCAGAGC